TTTTTTTTTCTTTTCTTTTCTTTTCTTTTCTTTTCTTTTCTTTTCTTTTCTTTTCTTTTCTTTTCTTTTTTCTTTCCTTTCCTTTCCTTTCCTTTCCTTTCCTTTCCTTTCCTTTCCTTTCCTTTCCTTTCCTTTCCTTTCCTTTCCTTTCCTTTCCTTTCCTTTCCTTTCCTTTCCTTTCCTTTCCTTTCCTTTCCTTTCCTTTCCTTTCCTTTCCTTTCCTTTCCTTTCCTTTCCTTCCTCCCGAGGATTCAAAGTGTTTTAACACAGATTTCTAGTTATACAGATTTTTCTCCTCGTCGAAAGTGTTTTGTGGTCAAGTGCTTCTGTTCGCCCACTATTTTCTGTGAGAGTGTTTTTTTTAAAAAGAAATTTATACAAACTATTATTTGTTACCAAATTGTACAAAACGATACATTAAATTCTTTGATTAATTAACCCGTTCGGTGGACGTTTCTGTAAAACAACAACAAAAATCATCACTTTTCCCTCGTACAGTATATAAATATATATATAGGCATATATATATAGGCATATATTCTGCCTCCCCACCCTCGTAGTTGTCACTAATACAGGAAGGCCCAGAGGTGGCTTAATGATTGATTGTCCATTTTAGTTTACACTAGTAATGACTTTTAATACATAAACACATCCGTTCCCGCCCGAGCGTCATCGCTGTCGGGCTACGAGCTCTGGCGTGGCCGGGGGGGCCTTCAGGCGGGCTGGCCGTGACGTCACGCGCAGGGACCCCCCACGGGAACTGCACCACGCGCGACCTCTGTGCGGGGCTGCCCCGAAACGTGCGGGTTTTGCCGCGTACGGAGCTATCGTGAGATTAAAAAAAAAAAAATCTGTCAGAGCAAAACCAACATGATTTTAGTGCGTTCCTCCAATGCGCGAGCTTAAAATTAACCTGTGAAAGCCGCATTATTCGGTCCTTTCGGGCAAAGAAAGAAAGAAAGGGAAAAATCAAACAAATAAACAACAATGAAAACCAAACACCCACCTTAGGGTAACTTGAAACTGCCGAATGGCACCGTTTTAATTACTTTAATGATGTTTAAGAACAGCAGATAGTAGAGGCGAATAAATGGCCCGGGGACTGCACGGGCTCTCCGCGGCTTGCTCCAGGCTTAGAGGAGGCCTGTGAGGCGCCTCTCTCCAGGGCTGCATCCCGTCTCGCCACCCAGGTAACTAGGGCTAATGCGTGTGTGAGTGCACGTGAACACTCGCACACCTACAGGTGTGCATACAAGGGGAAAAAAAAAAAAAAAAAAAAAAAGCTGATCCGTGGTGAAATCCTGTTCCTCTGTCCCTCCGAGAGCCTCCCCTCCTGCCGCAACCTCGCTCTCTTCCCAAGGCATCAAACGGGGATTCCCTCTCCTTTTCACCACGCAACTCCACAAATATCTCTTCTTTAGTGGCCCGTTCACGTCGGCCGCACGGTAACAGCAGCATGCCGCTACCGGGACGTGGATAGAGACACCGCATGTGCTCCCTGGGCAGACAAAAATGTACTCCGAGCCCAAATTAGAGCAGAATTGTTCCCCTCTGCCTACACTGCCCCAGAAACTTGTGCCGTGGAAACTGAAAGGTACGAAGCCATTTGCGGAGAGAGAGGATGTTCCCATCTTGTCCTGAGATCTGTGCATTTCTTTATTTCTCTATTTACAGAAGTGTTTGGATGTGCAGGCTAATCACCTTTAATTTTTCATTTGCTTGTTACAGATGTCTACCCCGTTGCTCTCAAGGTAATCTAGACAGACGCAGCTGAAAGCCTGAATCTTATGCCTTAGACATCAAAGAAGGCTCGCACAAAGAAGTATTTCTTCACAACGGTGAATCTTCATGGTAAGTTAGGATTTCTATGGCAATAGGCAAGTCATACTTAAACAGTGAAAGGCGAAGTCTGGAGCCCGTCCAGTCTTTTCATTAAGGACATAATATTTACGTCTAACAGGCCCCTTTTCTTGTGTATACAAGTATATATTTTTGTTTGACGCGAACTAAATCATTTTCGTTTAATTTCCGGTAAACAAAACCTACGCGAATAGGGCACTTGTTCCAGATCATAATAAAAATGGATAAGACTGTCAGAAAGAAAAGGCCCGCTTGAACTGGCGCCTCAGCCCACTTTTGTTTCTGCTTTCTGCCGGGATCAGAGAATGCGTTTGGGATTTGAGGGCGAGTTTCTAAAGGCAAGGAAATGGTTTTTAAGGGGGAAAAGAAAAGGAGAAAGGTCTAATCAAGCTCGGGTTGTTCAAAGGGCTTGATTTTGGGGTTGAAAGTGTGAGTTTTATGGCGCATCAGCATGCCACGTTAGGATCGCTATGGTAATGAGGAGAGCAATAGCAAGCGGCCTTCAAAGGAGGCACACTCCATTTGAGACAGTCTATTAAGATACATTTGCACTGACCTTTGGTTTCATGCTAGCTTAATACAGTCAATCTGCTCCTCGCTATAGATACACTTCCTCCACCTAATGCACTTGTGCGGGGCCGGGGTCTCTCTGGCTTCGCATTCACCCTAAGGTGGGCTTGGCTCTGGCATTCCAGCCTCGCCGCTCTTCTCCCCAAAGAAAGGACTGCTAATGAGGCTTAGGGCGAGTTCCCTTCCCCTCTCACGAGCATTTCCGATCAGCTTATCGCACTAAAACCCGACCACAAAGCCCGAGAAGAAGTGGGTTTTCTCCGCGTCACCCCCTCCCCGTCACCTCCCCCAAATCCTCCGCGCCCTCCACAGCAAGACAGGCTGGGGAAGGAGCGAGCCCTCGGGGCGGCCGTGCCCGAGGGAATCCCCGAGGAGCTCCAAGGCGGCCCAGGGAAGCGGGATGAAGCCGGGGGTGCCCTCCTGGCCCCCGCAGGCAGCCCGGCTGCGGGGAGGCCCGCGGTGCGGGGACTTGACACCCTCGGGGCCACGGGCGACGGGCCGCGGGCCCGGGAAAGTTAGAAGTCCATGTTCCAGTAATTGTCTTGTTGTTTATTTTATCCAAGTACCCCAGTGAATAGGGGAAAAATAAACACGGGGGAAAAAATTCAAACAGTTGAGTCGTCTTTAGTGCCAGCCCTTGTGGTTGAATAAAAAGGATGGTCCAATTTCTATTGAGCTGAGAAATCTTTGAAGTGGGAGTTATTATCTGAGAAATTCCTGCTTGTCGTCCTAACAACGCTGATGAAACGTAAAAGGTTCTTTGTCAGCGATTTGTTCTCCTCTCTGTCAAACTCACCCTTCCCGTTAGCTTTAAACCGTTTCTAAAGAGATAAAATCAAACTTTTAAAGATAACTTTAGGGGCCCAGAGGGTGCAGAAAATACCGAACTATCGAATCCTGTGTATAGACATACATCTGGATATATGTGGCTGTGTCTATGTGAAACTCTATCTGTGTATAGATCTCCATAGATGTCTGTATGACTGTTCGAAAGTTGAAATGATGTCCACTTTTGCATCTTATCCTCCTAACTTTTCTGTCTAATAAATTATTTCCACACATATGCTGCACAGAACGCAATTCTTGGAAAAGGCAGAAATGTTGGGTTTCATTAACATCAGTATGTGACCAACAAGCTTTTTCTTTCCAGTGTAATGAATGCAACAGCATACACTTAAGAGTAACGGCTTTGATCATTTTAACCCTCCGAATACCTATTAAGCATGTACATACTGCAATGTATCGAAGTTAACGCATTCAAACCGATGGCTTCCATATGCTCCCATGTTTTATTGTCCGTGAGTGTAAAGATGGTCCATCTCTTTTGTATCTTCGTTTTATAAACATTACAGTGTATACTGAAACGCTTCCCTAATAAAAGTTCATTTAGGAGTTTCTCATTAGAGATCATTAAATGCTCTGTTTGTAAAACAAATTCATTGAAGTTGTAACTCATCAGTGTACCTCTATTTTAGTTGCTACAGAATGATCTGAGCCCAATCCTGCCATTCTAAGCCACCCCATTAATGTAATGGGACTTTTCCTGAGTAAAGACTGAGTCAAACTACAGTGCAGTGGGTATTATTATTATTATTAAACTGGAGCTTGTCATATTTATGGGAGAATCTACCACATTCCTTGTGAACTGTATGGAGAAGAAATGTCTCTGAAAATGTAACTGGTGAAAACATTTGCAACGTTGAAATACTGTATTTCTTTCCAGACTTCTTATATTCTCCTTTTTTTTTGGTCTCTTCATCACATGTTCGGTAATGAGGGAATGTTCTGTTACGTGTTTGAACCTACTATTTATTTTTAATATTTGGATTTTTTACAATAAATATTTATAAGCATATAGAATCTACGGTTATTTTTACAAATGTGTGCACTTTTAAATTGATGTGATTGTATCCAGGCATGTCTTCATTTCTATTGGCTTTGCCGTGAGTTGAAAAATATCCTGCCGAATCGGTGTACGGTTAACGTGGGGGACTGTCAAATACTAATGCGTGTCTTTTTGTTGGTCTTTAACCTCCCTTAGTATCGCTCGTTTTGGGTTGTCATTTGCATTAAAATAACAAAACAAAACTCCTTGACCTCATTTTTGAGGTAGTATTTTTTCACATCAGAGGCTCCATGCTTAGCAGTACTGAATTGCACTTTAAATATTGACAGAGATAAGGGGTGCGAGAGTGGTCCCAGTGTCACTCGGTCGCTGCTGACTCGAGCCCTTGGCCTTTGTTCGCTCGCCGCCGCCTGTCCCCACACTGGATATCTGCGAATTGACTCCTTCCCATCCATCCGACTCTGTCCAGGTCAATAATACTCTGGAAAATGGGGGGAGTTTCTGATCAGAGCCGCCCCAGAAGCGCTACTCCTCCCCACGGCCCTGGAGCGACTTTTTGTTTTGGCCTGGCAGGTGAGGGATTAAACTGTTCGTTTAAAGAGATTTCCCCTCAGAATGGGTCCCTGTTACACTGGCACTTTTTATTTGCAGCCTAGAAAGACCTAGAGGTATTTTTGTATTATTATTTTTAAATTCTTAACGGGAGAGGAGATTTGTTGGCCGACTGAAGTAATCTAAAGGCAACCCCTTTTACCTTGCACATCCAACTAACTGATTTCAGTATGTTGCAGGGATCTGCAGCCCACGAACATACCAGGAGTTTTCTTGGCTTGACATTTTAAGCCCCGGCTCTCCAGTTCGGAGGGATTCGCGAGTCCCTGGCGCGGAGCAGCCCGTGCGGCGGGGCTGGCGGCGTGCGCATGCGCGCGGCCTTTACTCCCTTCTTAAAAGGAAAACTTGAAAGAAGTTGCCTAACACAGAGATGACAAAAAGTTGGCTTTGGCTGGCAGGAATATTGTCAATAGAGAATACATTTGACTACAGGAAGAGAGAGGGAGGGAAAGAAAGAAAGAAAGAAAAAAAAAGAAGGAAAGAATTAAAGCAAGCATGGAAGGAAAACATTTTTGCTGTAGGAGAAAAAAATGGCCCATAAAGGAAAGGAGGGCTAACAGTACATGCTAATTACAGAATACAATTCTATGGTCTGTAATGATTGAGTGAAGACATGTACTTATTACACTTGACTGTCAACAAGGGAAGGAATGTCCCCTCAGACAGCATGGTGAGAGACGTGTGGGCATTATTAGTGGCCCTTTTATAGACATTGCCTTTTCTTTCTCAATGCTGACAAACCATTTTGGAGGGAACCATCCCCTGTTGCTTCCTATCATCGATCCCCATGCAAGCCCATGCATTGTGCAAGTGCATTAATTAAAGACCATTCATTTAACAAAGAACATTGTATGTTCAGGAAAGGAAGATTAGAAATATGAATCAGTAAAACCAAGACCCATTTCCTCCCCGTTAGGAGGGGAAGTAGCTACAGCCCGCGGTTAAACACACTTCAATCCGCGAGCCGCGATCGGAGGCAGCGCCACCATTTATGCTCTTGGGGACAGAGCCCCTGAAATGGATTAGGGCTGGTAAATGTTGTTTTCAAGTGACTCTGCGTGCGCAGGGCTGCTTCCCCACTCTGCGCTGACACAGCCTGCGGAATTGGCTCGGGCGGGCCCAGCGCTATATGGACTGGTCCGCTCGGCCCGACCGGGCCCGTTGGGACCTCTCGAGGCGCCTCTGGCGATGTCCCCCACCCCGTGCTCCGCAGAGCCGCCTCTCCCGCACATAGACACCCCCTCCCCGCCCCCGGGTGCTTTCGGTGCCTACATTTATCTTTTCCCCGATCTGAAGCAAAATCCCGTTGCTCTCTACAAAGCCGATCGCGACATGAGGGTGACTTATCGTGAGGAGGTGGGAGGCAAGCGCTGAGCCACAGAGGTTTAGGCAGGTGCCGAAGGGAGCAGGGGGATGGGGAAAGAGAGAAGTCGGATTGCCAGTATCACCCACATGACTTGTTAAGCCGTTCCAGCTTCTCTAAAACCTCTGGGCCATATGTTAGTTTATTTACACCCTTTGCCTTTTCGTATGGCGTCTGCTGAAGAATATTCCTGGGATATAAATGAAAGGAGGCTAGAGTAAACAAACAAGGGGAGCACCCGCTTGAGGGATATGTAACATTTACTAAGATCCCAACAGGGCACGTCGTTCCCATGGTTATAGCGGGGCCAGAACAGCAATTGAGGCTTTTAGTTAACCCCCTCAGATTTTTAATGCTATATGATATATTGTCTCTATATTCTCGTAGATGATTTAGAGGCTTTGCAGGATTACACTGGAGATGGGGCGGTGGGCAACAAAAGTCATCAAAAATAACACTTTAACTTAAAAAATAAAGAATAAAAGGGAAAGCATATTAATGATGCCAACAGCTTAGAGAAACCTCTGCAGTTTACGTGGAGGACTGAATTTGTTCTTAACTCCTTCGTCATTTGGAGCTAACCTGGTACGAGCCGAGGACGGCACTCTCCCGCCTGTGTTTGATGACGAGGTCTCGCGACTTTGGGCACCAGCTCCCTGGCTGGGACTTGCCCCGAGCTCGCTCCCTCCTTGTCGCCGCGGTCCCCTGGGCGGGCTGGAGTACGCTGGACTACGATGACACCGTTGCCCCCCAAAAACGAGACACCCTGGCAAATTCGGGTGATTTGTAATATTATTATTTTTTCCCCCGGGTGAGCTTTACCCGGAGTATTGGGAGCCCTCGCGGCGCGGCCAGACCGCTGTGGGCGCCAGACAAAAGCACAGACCTCAAATCCACCCCTAGCTCTTCGGGAAAGCCAGAAAAAAAGAGCCAACTTTTTGACCAGTCACTCCTGTCTTAAATTATCCTCCGCCCTTGGTGGGGGGTAGAGGAAGGGGACATGACGGAGCCATGGGAGCTCCTTGCTGCACGTCGCCTGCTCCTGCGAGCGGCCGGCAAACGGTGCCCCCGAGCCTGGGCAAAGCCGGGGTGGCCTCACGCATTCCCTGCTCCCTCACCCTGCAGGGGCCGGGAGAGCCGGGAATCCGGCAGTGGGATTCAAAGGGAGGTTTCAAGGGGGAGGTTTTGTTCTCTGTACCTGAGGACAGATTAATCCTCGCATATATTTGATAAAGATGAAAAACCTTGCTGGGAAGAAGGAGAAAAAAATCGGTAGGAAAAGACTGAAGGAGTCACTGGATTGTTATTGTCCAGAAAACAGGCCAGTTTTAAAAACCTGTTGTAGAAATGCAGAGACTCTTTAAGTGTGAAATATCATTTCATTGTAAATAGTCAAAAAAAAAAAAAAGAGTTGGTAATCCAACTTCCGGAAACTGTTCTGAATTATTTCAGCAGACTCCTTTAAAAGGGGATTAGCAGGGCTTTAGTGGCAAAACCCTTCTGTTTTATTCAATCTCTGATTTTATGTTATAATTACTAGATGTAAAGACTCGTGAATTAGTATGCAGGCGTCGTCCAGACATTATGCAGGTGCTATTCTAATCATTCAGCTTTTTAATTAAGGAACGAGGTAAGAAAACAGAATCATAAAAACACTTTTGTGAGAGCTGAGAAAATCGTGAGCGACTGCATGAATAA